GGGACTAGTCTCCAACATTACTACCAAAAGGGTTACAAATCAGTTTTTGGTCAACTTTAGATTCAGTTTGGTTATTTAGAGTGCCCATTCAGAAAATTGCATTGGATAGACCACATCAGCTCTAGTTTCTAAAACAGAACATTAGCCATAATCAGGGACAGGGAAGGAGTGGCAGGTGGCACAAAAGGAGTGGAAATATAAAATAAAATAGAATAGAATAGAATAGAATAGAATAAAAATTTTAAAAAGAGGAAGGAGGCTCATGGATCAGATTTTCATCCTCACAGCCCATTGGTGGTCCACGGCCCACAAGTTAAGAACCACTGCTCTGTTGTGACTGACTTATTTCATAAGTTTGTTCTGAGGATAAAATGGTGATGAGTGATAGAGGGAAAAGACAGAGAGAGATCATTATTGGAAGGAAAGGCCTGATAACGCCTTCACTCCAATCGCAGTAGAGCTTTCCATCTTAGGACCAAACTGCAGACAGAGAAATAATCAGGAATCCTCAACAGGAGGAAGGTTTATTAGGGAAACATTTTATGGATATTTTTGGATAGTGATAGTCTGACTTTTTTCTAAACTATGCTAAAAGAGGGAAAGAAAGGATGGAGGCATGTTGCAGCACGTCCCGTGCTATCAAGGAGCAGACAAGGAGAGAAGTGGAGGGCTTCAGTCAGAGCCAGTTCATATTTGGTATTTTTAACAACAGCCATTTAATTAACTCTGACTGAAACAGATAATGTTATCTGTCTAAAATATTTCTGGGCTATGTGATTGACAGAAGAAAGGGGAAGCAAGCAGGAAAGAAAGATAGCAAATTTTTGTCCTTTTCTGACTCAGTCATCATTGCTAGTGGACACAAGAGCAAGAAGAACAAAAGCAGATGTTGCTCTTTCTTCCAAAGAAGAGGACTATGTCCCTAGCCTTAGATGGGACATAAATATGATTGAGAAATGGAGGGAGGACCTGAGATCTATAGCTACATGGGAAAGAGTTCAGAAGATTAAGCAGAAGTGAAGCAGGAGGAGAAAGGAGGAGAATTCAAATAGTCAACACCATGTTTTTTTGAATGTCAAGAAACTCCAATGAGAAGAATCCTGGACTAGAAAGAAGCGCTATTAAATCATGTGACTTGTATTTTGGTGTGGAGCCAGCAATTTTTGGCAGAAAAGGCTTTGTAAAGCTACAACTCCCAGGATTCTCCAGCATGAGTCATGACAGTTAAAGTGGTGACGAACTGCATTAATTCTACAGTGTAGATGCACCCAAAATGCCTCAAAGAATATCTTTATACCTTAAAAACTCTGGCATAGACACCAAGAACTGGGAAGCCCTGGCCCTTGAGTGCTCCAGCTGGAGGTCAGCTGTGACCAGCAGTGCTATAGAATTTGAAAAGGCATGAATGGAGGATGCAAGAGAGAAACGTGCCAAGAGGAAGGCATGTCAAGCCAACCCCAACTGGGACCGCCTTCCAACTGGAAACGGATGTCCTCACTGCGGGAGAACATGCACATCAATAATAGGACTCCACACGCATCTACGTACCCACCGCCAGGTCACCAATCTTGGAAGACAATCCTACATGGACAACAAGGGATTGCCTAAGTAATTAAGGTTGCACATTTCTCCACTTCCAAATCAATCCTTGGGTCCTTCAAAAACCAAAATGGTAGAACGCCAAAACTGGGCAGAAGTGAGTGATTGCAGCAACATAAAGCATTGCTGATAGTTACTTTGTGCACCGCTGCAACATTTGTCAGCATTTTGGTGCCTAATGTGAATGTTTTCCACTATGATAAGACTTAAATATTGCGAAGGGAGAAACCCATCCAGGCTCTCCTTCATCTTAATTGGTGTCACAAAGGGCACCTACTTTGGAGCAGTTGAGGACAGAGACTATTTACTCAACCAGTTCCTACTCACAGAAATCCATTTATCAAATTGCAGCTACTGGAACTAATTCTGCGATAACATTCCCAAGGCGCTGTGCTGTCTGTCCAAACCCTGATGGAAAACATCAAAGTGGCCTCATCAGATTAAACCAAGGACACTACTATTGTAGAATGATTTTTCCAATTGGCGATTCTGTGAGATTTAGACAAGAAAGGGAAATGAGTGTCATCTGGCATCTGGTTGTTGGAAGGAGAACAACACTGAATTTGGAAATTCCAGCTGGAATTCTGCTGATAGATGGAAGGACCCACAAAAGACATCTAGTCCAACCCCAGCCATGAAGGAAACCACAACCAAAGCACTTTTAAGAGATGTCCATCCAGTCTTCCACCATCCAAGGAAGCCCATTCCATGATCAAACAGCTCTTACTTTCAGAAAGCCCTTCCTAATGTTCAGGTGAAACCTCCTTCCTTGACATTTGACTCCATTGGAGCCAGCAATATTTGGGAAAACAAGCTTGAACCATCATCAACATGATGGCCCTTCAGATATAGATACATGACTTTCAGATCACCTCTCAATCTTCTCCAAGTTAAGCATGTTGGACTTCCTAAATTGTTCTTGGTTTGGAGAGCTTTTTAACTCTTTGGTGACCCTTCTAAGAAGATCTTCTGGTTTGTCCATATTGTTCTTGAATGATGGACAATAGGGCTGGGTAACCACGGAAAAATTTGTTTCTAAACTCGATTTGTTTTTAAGGGGTCCATCACGTTTCATTTCTTAAAGAATTCCAAAATTTTCCTTTTAAAAATTTCGAAATATACGAAATTTCGTAAATTCGAATCGATTCGTTAATGGCGGACGCGATTGCGCAATATGCTAAAAAAACCCTCCAAATATGCTAAAAATATGCTGAAAAAACCTCCAAATGGGACAGGAGGAACTTCTGAAGCTTCCCTCTCCCTCTGTTGTTGACTGTTGGTGTGATAAAACAAACAACAACTATAAAACTTGCACCAGACATGCGAAAATAATAATGAAACAATTTCGAAACGATTCAAAACAATTACGAAATAAATTGAAAAATTGTTTCGAATCTATTTAACTCCTCACACTATTCCAAAATGGCTCAATATCGGATCGTAAGCTAATTTAAATACGAATTAATAACGAATTACGAAATTAACGAACGAAACCGCCCAGCCCTAATGGACAATATGTCCAGATCTAGATCCAGGATTCCAGGTGATACCTGACCAAAGCAGGATGGGTTGATAGCATTACTTACCTCAATCCAGGTACTATATTCTTTTATAAGTTGGTCTTTGTAGCTGCTGCATCATACAACTGATTCATGTTTACGTTCCAGAGTTTCCTCCATGGAAGCGGTTGAACGTTTTTGTCCAATGCAGAATGGTCTGCGTTCAGTTCAAGACTAGAGAACTCAACATGCATCCAACTGAGTATAGTTGAATGTACATTAACTTTTGAAGATTTGATTAACATGGTTTCTCTGGGAATCTTTAGGTATGACAATGCTACAAGGTTAAGTTTTCTGAACTCCTTTGGATGGACCTCAACATATTCCGCAGGCATGCCTCTTATTTTTGTGTATGTGTGGAGAAGAGACTAAGGGTGGATCCACACCGTAGAAATAATGCAGTTTGATACCACTTTAACTTCCATGGGTCTATGCCAGTGGTTCTCAACCTTCCTAATGCAGTGACCCCTTAATAAAGTTCCTCATGTTGTGGCGACCCGCCCCCCCCCCCAACCATAACATTGCTTTCGTTGCTACTTCATAACTGTCATTTTTCAACTGTTATGAATCGTAATGTAAATATTTGATATGCAGAATGTATTTTCATTAACTGGACCACATTTGGCACAAGTATCCGATTTTGTCGTTTGGGAGTTGTAGTTGCTGGAATTTATAGTTAGCCTACAATCAAAGAGCATTCTGAACTCTACCAATGATGGAATTGAACCAAACTTGGCACAATGAACTCCCACGACCACCAAAAAATACTGGAAGGGTTTGGTGGGCGTTGACCTTGAATTTTGGAGTTGTAGTTCACCTACATCCAGAGAGCACTGTGGACTCAAACAATGATGGAGCTTGACCAAACTTGGCACAAATATTCAATATGCCCAAATGTGAACACTGGCAGAGTTTGGGCAAAATAGACTTGGCATTTGGGAGTTGTAGTTGCTGGGATTTATAGTTCACCTACAATCAAAGAGCATTCTGAACTCCACCAATGATGGAATTGAACCAAACTTTGCACACAGAACTCCCATGACCAACAGAAAATACTGGAAGGGTTTGGTGGGCATTGACCTTGAGTTTTGGAGTTGTAGTTCACCTACATCAAGAGAGCACTGTGGACTCAAACAATGATGGATCTGGACCAAACTTGGCACGAATCATTCAATATGCCCAAATGTGAACACTGGTAGAGTTTGGGGAAAATAGACTTGACATTTGGGAGTTGTTTGCTGGATGTATAGTTCACCTACAATGAAAAAGTATTCTGAACCCCACCAATGATAGAATTGGGCCAAACTTCCCACACAGAACCGACCAACAGAAAATATTTGTTTTCTGGTGGTCTTTGGCGACCCCTTTGACACCCCCTGACGACCCCCCCCCCAGGGGTCCCAACCCCCAGGTTGAGAACCACTGATCTATGCTGTGGAATCCTGGGAAATGTAGTTTGAGGCTAAGAGGGTGTGTGTGACTTTGCCCAAGATCACCCAGTAGGTTTCCATGACTAAGCGAGGATTCGATCCCTTTCCTCTAATCTAACTCTCAAACTCTCTGAAGGGGAAGCAAGATAAAGAAATGAATTAAAGTAATTACATGGCTCTTAAATGTTTTCTTCAAACGAAAAAGGGCAGAAGTGAAGAGATAGATGGAGAAATGGATAGAGAAGGGCTCTCTTTGGGGCTTAAGCTGCTCAGCCACTTCCTTGACACTTCATAAATTTCCAACAGACACGACAGGCAGGGAGCCAACTTCAGAAACAGATTTGGATTGGGAAGCTGGATGGAAGAAGAGGAGCTTCGGTTTGTTTTTCTTTTTTTGGTTGAGTTGGTTCCCACCCAGTGTCTCTTCCCCACTCGGCCATCCTTTTGGCTATATTTAGGAGAGTAAGTAAGGGTTTTTTCTTGATGCTGTATGTAGGCATCACAAGAACTTCTGAGCATTTTGAATGAAGCAGATCGATACCATCAGTAAATCTTTGGCTCCAGAAGCCCTTTCTTTTCACATTAAAGGTAAGTCTTTTTTTAATTCTCTCCCTTCTAGTTACTTGGGGTTCTTAAGGGAAAAAAAATGCAAGACAATTATTCTTAAGGAAGAGAGTTGGGGTGAAACAGGGAAGGAGAAAAACCAGGAATCTAACAGGTAAACACATTAAGATCCCTAACCTGTTCCACTGAGGGATTCATGGTTTCCAAACCTTTTATCATGTTGGGCACCCTTCTCAGGACATCTTCCAGCTTGTCCATGTCCTTCTTTAGTTGTGATGCCCAGAACTCGATCCAGTATAATTCTAGGTCAGCGTTTCTCAGCCTGGGGTCGGGATCCCTGGGGGGGTCATGAGGGGTCGCTAAAGACCCATCAGAAAGGTGGAAGGTGAACTACATCTCCCCCAAATCATTGTCAATTCATCCCAAGTACATTCTGTTGGTCATGGGGGTTCTGTGTTGGAAGCTTGGACCAATTATATCATTGGTGGGGTTCAAGGGACTCTTTGATTGTAGGTGAACTATAAATCTCAGCAACTACAACTCCCAAATACAAAGCTTTAATTTCTCCAACTCCACCAGTGCTCACACTTGGGCATATTGAGTATTCATGTGAAGTTTGGTCTAGAACTATTATTGTTTGAGTCCACAGTGCTCTCTGGATGTAGGTGAACTATAACTCCAAAACTCATGGTCAATGCCCACCAAACCCTTCCAATATTTTCTGTTGGGCATGGGAGTTCTGTGTGCCAAATTTGGTTCAATTCCATTCCTGGTGGAGTTCAGAATGCTCTTTGATTGTAGGTGAACTATAAATCCCACCAACTACAACTCCCAAATGACAAAATCAGTCCCCCACCATCACCACCCCACTCCACCAGTATTCAAATGTGGGCGTATTGGGTATTTGTGCCAAATTTGATCCACTGGATTAAATTACATCTTACATAGCAGTTATTTACATGATGATTCCTAACAGTAACAAAATTACAGTTATGAAGTAGGAACGAAAGTAATTTCATGGTTGGGGCTCAGCAGAACATATAGAACTGTATTAAGGGGTCGCGGCATCGGAAAGGTTGAGAACCACTGCTCTAGGTGAAGTCTGACCAAAGTAGAAGAGAGTGGGATTATGATTTCCCTTGATCCTGATACTATATTCCTTTGGATCCGTGGTGCTCAACCTTTCAAATTCTGCAATCTGTAAATACAGTTCCACATGTTGTGGTGACCCCCAACCATAACATTTTTTTTTTGCTACTTCATAATTGTAATTTTCTCACTGTTATGAATCGTAATGTAAATATTTGACATGCGGGATGTATTTTCATTCACTGGACCAAATTTGGCACAAATATCTGATCCAAATTTGAATACTGGTGGGGTTGGGGCGATTGATTTTGTCATTTGGGATTGTAGTTGCTGGGATTTATAGTTCAACTACAATCAAAGAGCATTCTGAACTCCGTCAACAATGGAATTGAACCAAACTTGGCACACAGAACTCACATGACCAACAGAAAATATTGGAAGAGTTTGGTAGGCATTGACCCTGAGTTTGGGAGTTGTAGTTCACCTACATCCAGAGAGCACGGTGGACTCAAACAATGCTAGATCTGGATCAAACTTGGCATGAATACTCAATATGCCCAAATGTGAACACTGGTGGAGTTTGTGGAAAATATACCTTGACATTTGGAAGTTGTAGTTGCTGGGATTTATAGTTAAACTACAATCAAAGAGTGCCCTGAACCCATCCCACATGCACAATGGAGGACCTTCTTGCAGCAACACCAGAAGCACTCCAAGTGGCCAGATACTGGTCAAAGGACATTTAATCAACTACCAAACTCACACATTTTGTATTTTCTCTGTTTGTTTGCTTTGCTCTGTTAGAAATGTAATATAATTGACTGGCTGCCCTGACACGAGAAATAAAATAAATCCCACAATGGATGTGCACCAAACATGACACACTACCTACATGGCCAACATTGGATGCTGGTGGTGTTGGAGGGCACTGTTTTTGAATTCTGGGAGTTGTAGTTCACCAACACCAAGGAAGAAAAGAAGGACAGGCAGGGAAATATTTAGCCTTCTCTGCCAAAATGGTTCCTTAGACCATCAGAAATATGTGTTTTCTGATAGTCTTTGGTGACCCCTCTGAAACTCCCCTCACAACCCCCCCCAGGGGTCCCGACCCCTAAGTTGAGAAACACTGCTTTGGATATCTAGAATCTCATTGGCTTTTTTAGCTGCTGCATCCCCCTCTTGACTAATGTGATCCACTAATAATCACTTTCACATGGACTGTTGTGTCCACCATGGAGCCCCCAGGTGGCGCAGTGGGTTAAACCCCTGTGCTGGCAGGACTGAAGACCAACAGGTCACAGGTTCAAATCCGGGGAGAGGTGGATGAGCTCCCTCTATCAGCTCCAGCTCCTCATGCAGCGACATGAGAGAAGCCTCCCACAAGGATGATAAAAACATCAAATCATCCAGGCGTCCCCTGGGCAACATCCTTGCAGACGGCCAATTTTCTCACACCAGAAGCGACTTGCAGTTTCTCAAGTCGCTCCCGACACAACAAAAAAAAATGGACTGTCACTCCTATCCTATATCTGTGCCTTTCAATTTTTTCATCTCTCCCTATTGAAATTCATTTTAATAGTTTCAGCCTAGCTTTCGAATCCATTAAAGTTAGAGAGGAGGGTGCAAAGTCCAAACCAAGAGGAGGGAGAGTACTTTGCTCCTCTTGTCAGCAATTAATTTTAATTAATACGTCTTGCCTTTAACAATTTTAATTTGAACTCAAGAGAGCAATGAGATGCAGCTGTGCGTTGCCTTCTTTCCCATGCCACATAGATATTACCGAACTATTATAGATCCCAGATGCAGCAAATCTGTGAAACCCTCTTGATTTTTTCCCAAGTGTTTTCTTCCTGTCTCTGAATTCTCTTAAAGACATACTGGTGTTACACAAATTGGAGAAGCATCGCAGAAAGCTACGTCAGCAACGAATAGGAAATTGCAACAAGCATTGCAGGAGAGTGGGATTTTTGGAGATGGCAAAGGATTTAGTGACTGCATTTTTATTTTATTACTAGCTTGGGTACCTGGCGTTGCCCGGGTTATTTTACAAAATGCATAAGGTTCTGGGTGAACTACAACTCACTCCCTGAAATTCCATCAGTGCTTAAAGTTTGTCATGTTAGGCAAGTTTTCTCTCTAGATGCATCACAGATGGGGTCCATGTGGTCTCTGGCTGCAGGGTAAACTACAGCTCCCATCATGGTGGGTCATTCCCCTCAAACCCCTCCAGTTGGTCCAGTTGGTCATGGGCATTCTATGAACCAAGTTTGGTCCAGATCCATCAACAATGGTGGTCACAGCGTCTCTGGATACAAGTGAACTACAACTCCCAAAAATCAAGGTCAATCTCTCCCAAACCCCTACAGTATTCAGATTTGGTGTACTGAGTATGTGTGCCAAGCGTGGTCCAGATGCATTGGTGTGTGGGTTCATAGTGCTCTCTGGATGTAGGTGAACTACAACTCCTCCAAATCAAGGTAATTTTTCCCCAAAGACTTCCAGTATTTTTTGCTAGTCATGAGAGATGTGTTTGTCCAATTCCATCTTTGGTGCAGTTCAGAGTGCTCATTGATTGCAGGTGAACTATAAATCCCAGTACCTACAACTCCAAAAAGTCCAAGCCAATTCAACTCAAAACCCAGCAGTATTCAAATGTGGGCATATCGGGTATGCATGCCAAGTTTGGTCCAGATCCATCCTTGTTTGGGTTCATACAAGGAGATGTAGGTGAACTACAACTCCTATAAATAAATCCCTCCAAAGACCTCCAGTATTTTTTTGTTGATCATGGGGGTTCTGTTGCCAAGTTAGTCCCAGGTCCATATTGGCGGAGTTCAGAGTGCTCTTAGATTGCAGGTGAACTATAAATCCCAGTACTTGCAACTCCAAAATTTCCCAGCCAATTCCCCTCAAAAACCCCTAGCATTAAAATTTGGGCATATTGGGTATGCATGCCAAGTTTGGTCCAGATCCATCATTATTTGCGTTTATAGTACACTGTGGATGTAGATGAACTACAACTCCTATAAATCTCTCTAGTTTTTTGTTGGTCATGGGGCTTCTGTGCGCCAAGTTAGTTCCAGGTCCATCGTTGGTGGAGTTCAGGGTGCAGTTCTTAGATTGCAGGTGAACTATAAATCCCAGTACTTGCAATTCCAAAATATCCAAGCTGATTCCCCTCAAAAACCCCTAGCATTAAAATTTGGGCATATTGGGTATGCATGCCAAGTTTGGTCCAGATTCATCATTGTTTGGGTTCATAGTACACTCTGGATGTAGATGAACTACAACTCCTATAAATCCCTCCAGTTTTTGTTTTTGTTTTGTTGTTGTTGTTGTTGTTGGTTATGGGGATTCTGTGTGCCAAGTTAGTTCCAGGTCCATAGTTGGTGGAGTTCAGAGTGAAGTTCTTAGATTGCAGGTGAACTATACATTCCAGTAGCTACAACTCCTACAAATCACGTGTCGCACCTCAGACTAGGTTCAGCTTTCTGAGAACACCAAGCTGCACACAGCCAGAAGTCTTTAGAGTTTATTAAAAAGTAAAAGATAAAAAGTTCTTAAAAGCAAAAGTAAAGTTCCAAAAGAGCAATACAAAATAACACTTTGAAGAATGAATCAAAAACACACCAGCAAAGCAAAATTCCATAAGAACACAACTAGGTCCCAAGAACATAAACATGAGCACTGCAAGATAATCCAGACAAACAAAAGCAAGCCTCTTGGTGTAAACGAGAAGTTGTTCTGACAATTTGTTCAAAACACTCAGCTTAACACCCTTTGCAAAACATGAAGGCGTTTCTTTGGCCTTTGACCTCCTTCTTGTTAGCTATTCTCACACTCCTTCGAACTCTGAATTCCAAACGTTCGGCCCGATCTAAAGTTCCCATTTCGTAAAGGCCAGCCTGTTAGTTAGTGTTATCAGGCTGAGAGCT